AGTTGAAATAACTTGTTTCATAATTGTTGTAAAATAAATGAAGTTAGTATTTTATTATTCCAGTTTCAAAATATCGTTAATATTATTTTTTGGTATTGCAAATGTTAATTGAAATTATATGGTTAAAATCCAATAGTCACCCTGGTCTGAAATTAGTGGAAACATTCTAATTTCTTTGTCTAGTCCAATTAGATAACTAAGGAACATGTAATTTATACAAGCCCAATAGACCTCTTGTTCTTGTAGTCATTACAATAATTTTCTCCGGGTTAGCTCAGGAGCTTTTTAACTAAGACAATTTAAAGAGCCCCTGGTATTGCCAGTATGAAATTTACCAAACTTTGAAAATGCCTTGTAGTTGCAATTGTTAAGTGTCCATCTTTTTCAGATCTGTTGATCACATTTTGAGGAAACAGCAAAGGTATCCTTCTGATGACTGATTGAATTTAAGTGATGGACTTGGTTACAATTAATTGATTGTTTTACAGGTTGGATTTGGGGGCCCTTTCACAAAAGCCAGCCAATGATCCCCTAGAATCAGCTTACATATCACAGTACAACCAACAGGCCACAGAAAGTATAAAAAATTCTATAGGCGTAAGTATCCAACTTGAGGAGATTTCATATCATTATTATTTTGCTGATTTCATTCTATTTTGAATCATGTTCAATTTCTTCTGACATGATTGTTTTAGTTCATTGCTATTTTGACAAACAGATTAACCTCTTGGAAGCTAAGTAAAGTTTGAGAAAGTTATTTTGAAATCTTTTAGCACTATCACAAATTCATGACTCGTAAAGTTATATTTCTACCTTCCAGCAGATTGGCCATATAGAATAGCCCTTTGTCTTGCAATCTTGATTTGAAATGTTTGGTTGGGTAAGAAGTTAATTGACTGTACATGATTCTATAAATTCCTCTCCTTTTCCAAATAATTAAATGATACTTGTAATACATGATATTGATTTTCCTAGTTTTAATATCTGAATTATCGTGTAATGTAGATTGGATCATCCCCGCGACAGAATCTGACTAATCAGCTTGGTGGCTCAGCTTTGACCAATCACATGCAGTCTGGATCCTTGTCAAGTCAGTTGCCGTCATCATCGCTATCCAATCAGCTTTCGGTTTCGCAACAGTCCTCGTCTAATGCCATTAATGCATTGGTGTCCTCGTTTGGTCAGAATCAAACCTCTTACAGTCAGAGCTCTTCAGGATTCAGCCAGAGTGTGTCGGCCTACAGTCAAAGTCCGCCTGGGTACAGTCAGACTACCTCAGGGTTCAGCCAAGGTCAGTCGACATACAGTCAGAGTCCGTCGTCTGTTTACAGCCAGAATCAGTCTTCGGCTTACAGTCAGAGTCAGCCATCCGGCTTTAGCCAGAACACTGGGTCTGTATACAGCTCGAGCCTGGAACAAAACAGTGGTGGACAGGTGGATTCCGTGCCCTCTTCTCAGTCGGGTTTACAACAGCGACCAAAGTCCCAAAGAACAAAACTACCACCACCATCCAAGGTACAATTAAATCACCTCATAGACATTTCATAAAAAGATGTGATGGATTTCATTTATTTCCAGTATACTTGTTAATCTTCTTAAAACATTTAAAATAATATAGTCAAAACGAAAGTAAAGCGGTCTTAGACCTACGTAAAGTTACTTTCTATTTCTTGCAATAAACAAAACTTAGAGGATGTTTTAAGAAATCTTAAGTTAAGGTGAATAAGAGATTCACATGTTGTACACATGTTATGTCTCTTAGACCAGTCTAAAGTCAAAGAATAAATCTTTCATTCCTAACTGTGACCTGAATGTTTAGATTCCAGCCTCTGCAGTAGAAATGCCTGGACACATGACGAAAAGGTTAGATGTCCAGTTTGGAACTTGGGAATTCGGATCTGATAATTCATCACCTTTTAGTTTTGGTGGAGAACCATCTGTTACAAGCAATTTGACAAGTTCTGGTGCTAGCAGGTAATTGAGTGTTTTATCTTCAATTTGTAAATATTTCTTTCAAACATCATTTTCTTTCCAGTGAACTTACTTTTCAATACATTAGATATCTGCTTAGACTTCCTATTATAACTTCAATTTATTCAAGTTTTGAGAAAGAATTTGATGTGGTAATTAGATTTTGACAAGAAAATTAGGAATGTGATATAAAGTTTCAAGATAAATTTGTGGTGCAACTTTTAAGTTTTGAAAATAAATTGTGAAGTGGTTATTAAGATTTGAGATTTAATTTTCTATGCACTGTTTTACTTTAATTTGCAATTCTGAAAGAAATTTCCTGTCTGAATTTTGTAACTTACTTTACAGTACAACTCCAACGATAAGTGGTCACTTGCCCCCTCAGCAGGTGAGTAGTAAACCAAATGAGTCTGTGATCTCCTCCTCCATAATGACCACGCCTCCCGCTAATAGTACCTCAGCTATGTCGGGCGGTGACCAGACCTCTCCCAGGACCAACATTTTCCAGGCCTCCCCCTACACCACTCCTACCAAGAAGGACTCTGCATCACGCAATCAGAGCAAGGTAGATACAAGTTACAGTCCTCACTTT